GGCACCCACAACCAACGACCCACGGCACCCACAACCAACGACCCACGGCACCCACAACCAACGACCCACGGCACCCACAACCAACGACCCACGACACCCACAACCAACGACCCACGACACCCACAACCAACGACCCACGGCATCCACAAACCACGACACGTGATGACGTCGACATACGACAACCTCGACACGCGAAGACTCCAACTACAACCAACGATGGTCTCCACCCACAAAAACTTCAACAAATCTGATCTGTGACGACTTTGACTCAAGACAATCATGATGATCCCGAAAAATTTTAACAAGACAACCACAACAACGTCGACCATAATGGCAAAGACAAATCTCAACCATGACAACCACAACAACGTCGACCATAATGGCAAAGACAATCGCATCCATGACAACCACAACAACGTCGACCATAATGGCAAAGACAATCGCTTCCATGACAACCACAACAACGTCGACCACAATGGTTATGACAATCTCAACCACAACAACTTCGCCCATGACAACTTTGACCACGTAATTTTCCCTATATTCGATTTCCCATATCCATATACTTCAACATCGAAACAAAAACAAATAACATTGCAGTACTTATCTTTTCACTTGGCTGGTCCAACATGACTCGATTATCTTCCTGAAGACGTCTCTTTAAACAGGATGTACTCTGAGAAAATAGAAAACAGGAGAAAATGACAGTACTGTACCTCTCCGAAAATTACTTATAGGCAGCCACAAACAAACAATTTCCATCTCTAGTGGTTTTATAGACAGACATAGCTTGTTATCTTACAGCACACTAAAAAGGACAGACATTTAACTTTTACAAACATGCAAGTAATACAGTCAGCCCGTTATACCACCAGAGTGGGACAAGCATGACGTTGGCGGCAGAGTGTGCTGGTACTATAGCACAAGGAGTTAACACTTTAAAGATGTAGCGGACATTTTTGTCCAACCAGCAGAACACCGAAGGCAACTGCGGCACATTACAAACCGTCAGACAAGTCAGAAAGACGGGTGTGCGTATTTCATACCAGATCTAGATTCTATACGTGATTCGAATAGTTACACGACAAAGCTGTATGCCTTACATCACCTTTACTCTAAAAACAAAGTTGCCCAAGATTATTCAATTTTAATGGTTAAAGAACAGAAATCATTTTTCCCAAAGCTGTCGCCTCTTGTCACAAACCTTCACATGTTACTGCCTGTTGTTGTTTTTTAAGTTTCAGATAAAGAAAACAGGAATAAGAAAATATGTAAGAACATCGAAGTTATGCTACTTTTTGAAAGTGTCCCTACACAAGCACTATCGATTTTTTAAAACATAGATGTAGATCTAAATCTAGATTAGATCTTGGCGCTCATATGATCTTATACAGTTGCCAGTGCCGTAAAACCTCTACTAAAACAAATACATAGACCTAGATCTAGATTCTAGAATCTAGACTCTAGATCTATACTATGACTGCGCTGAACAAGGGAATGTTAAAGTTAGAAGCCAGAAGACCATTTCATCAAGAAGTAGACCAAGGGAAATAGCTCAACATAATATTGCCCTCAATCTACAATTTCTAGTTATGGCGGAGTCGTTTCCCTTGACATTGGCCAGCAGAAATCGACGCTTTTTCGGCAGTTCCCACCCCGCAGTTATTCGCGGGTTTTGGCCCCCGAGAGTAGCCCCACCCTACCCCTCCCCCTGCCCCCTTCATTCAAGATACAATTTTGCATTGGTATCATCAAAACATTCCGCACATTTTAGAGAATTTCATGGACAGCAAAAAAAGAAATCAAACGAGAAAATCTAAATCTAGATCTAGATTCTAGATCTAGATCTAGAAAATCTACATCTAGACTAGATCTAGATTAGATCTAGAATCTAGAATCTAGATAGATCTAGACTTAGTTCTAGATCTAGATCTAGATCTAGATCTAGAAGTCTAGATGTAGATTCTAGGCCTGCCTTGTAAACGAAGCTGAAACCCACAGAGCTGCTCTCTAAACAAAGGATGGTGATTTGGAAGCGACAGACACGGTTTCTTTCTAGATCTAGATCTAATATATCTAGATCTAGATGTAGGAACAAGGCAGGGGCAAGCCCAGAGAAGCGTTGAGAAAAGCTGAATGAAGATGGAGAAACATAAGGATAATGTGAGGATTATGAGAGCATCCGAGTAGAGAATCAGAAATAAAGAGGGGAACCATGATGATCTCCGATCTATGTTTGAGATCTGGCTCTTCATCGTAACAATAAAGTTGGAAAAGTTCAGCAAAAAAGAATGAAAGGAAAAAAACTACAGATTAACAACCTACCTGAACAGTTCGTGCAGATAGAAATATCATCTTGAGTTCACGTGAGGGAAAAGACTACTCGACACAAGGTTCGGGAAACGACTTGCATTTTGTTTAGATCTATGTTGTGTCCCTCGTGGGTGTCTCTCCCTCTCGTCTGTCGTCTGCTAGCCTAGGCCCCAAAGGTGTTTTGGACTT